CATTTTTAGAAGTTATTGCTCCCATGATATATCCATTAGCATTTGAAAGCAACATGGGGGCCGTTGTCGAGAATTGCATTTCTTCTTCCTCAGAATCTTTACGGCCGCCCTCAGGAGACACTGCATTACTTTTGTTCGTTATGGAATAGAAAGCAGGACTTCGAGACCCAATAAACTACCAGCATCTTCAGAGAATTCCCTATCCCGATGTCCATAAAAAATGTGCCTGGTGTAGAACTATGTAACTCATACTGTCCTGATATGAACCTACCTTTTGATCTAAGCTGAATGTTGTATCCATTTCATGTCTCGAGAGAAGTCTCTCCATTAGATCAGTTTTGGCATTTGTTGGCCGTTTTCTTTACATCAAACTCTCGGACTGAAATTCATCATCTTCGGTGTGATGCAAAGGCGTGGATGGATCGTCATTGACTAAAACTATTTTATAAATAGTAATATTAATGAATTTGCACATAAAAAATATTTAGAAAATAATGTCATAAGGCAAATATGTAAACTTAACATACAAAAACTAAGATAGAAAACTAGAATGTTTTAAGCTATACAATCAGATTTAACAATTGTTCAAACGCTCCGATTTCGATTGCAAATTTTCGCAAAGATATTTCTTAAACATAATAACGTGAATACCATTTAACTTGAGAAGCTTTGAAAACAAAACTTTGAATTCTGTTCTGATGCGTAAAGGACACTGTATTGCTGATAGAATAGCTTGGCAGCACGGCGTACATTAAAATGGTATACAAGATATCAGAGCATTATGCCATTGTGAATAATAAATTGTAGATACAGCAGTGCATCATAATCTATATATAGTTGTAATTAAATGATATTTTAATTCGATTGTACTAAAATGATTTTATTTCAATGGAAAAATAAATAGAAAACATTCCACCCTTATATTGTATGATTGTGTGAAGCAGCAGCAATATCGACATGAAACATACAATTCCAATCTGGGTAAAATAACTCATAATAACAATCAACTGAAATGTTGGAAATAAAATATATTTTGTAATACAATGGATTAATGAAAATATTCAACTCTATCTGAATTTTTATGATACATATCTACCACAATATTCAATAGTTATTATATGTACACCTATAACGTATAAAGTTCTTACTTGTATTTTGCATATTTATCAGCGCTTCTTGACCTTGAGGAGAATGGTAAAATGAAATCTTCTTAACTCAGGATTGGCATCTGCATGCAACAAAGTCTCAAGTTCAAAGAAAGATGGTCTTGCTGATGGTTTGTGCTGCCAAGTAAGGCGCATCAGCTCATATAACTGGTCTGGACAATTTTCGGGTCTTTCCATAACACCGCCATCAATCACGTAACGTAAAACTTGATCATTTGACAATCCCTTAAATCAAGAATTATCTTTAATAATAGTATCTAGTGCATAATTAGTTTTATATATATATATATATATATATAATAACTTTTCTTTAAAATATAAATTTCTTTTAGCTGAATGATGAGACACATCTAGTCTCGAAATGTATAAAAAATTAAAATAAATTCTTTACATTCGACGCATTGGCTGTTTTATTCATTTCAATATGTTTCAACGTCGAACAAAAAATCCTCAAGATATATATATATATATATATATATATATATAAATTTAGAAATATGAACAAATAGAACCCTTTTTGTAAAAACTTTTTTTGCACACTATTTACACAAGTAAAAGTTTTTTTTTAATTAATCTATATATTTTCTGTTGTTTCGACGATGAAACATATTTGATAGCCAATTCTACGAATTAAAACAATTGAATAATATTGAACTTCTTTATTTAAGAGTTTCAACACTATGTTACATCATTTAACTTACCAGACCAAGAAAAACAAAATACAAAATATAGATTTTTCTTAATTAAAATTTCACAGTAAGCACCGAAACATATAAACATTACAAAATAAAAATTTGCAATTTTTTTCGATTAATTAATTATCTATCATAATCAGCGAATGATTTTCTGAATGATGACAAAAACATGAAGTGTCAAAACGTGAAATAAATAATTGTAAATATTTTTTTCTTGTATTTAAAATATTTAAATTATGTTTCAATAGTGTCAATTAATGCACAAGTACATTATTCCATAAATTAATGAATAATCTTTAGAGACAAAAACAAAATACAAAAAAAATCACACAAAATCCTACCTGATATGGTTGAGAAGCTAATGTAGCCATTTCCCACAACACAACACCATAGCTCCAAACATCGGAACTGCTTGTGAAAACCTAAATTTTTAAATGCTATAGTATATTACAGTAAAATATAGTAATTGTTAAGAAAAAAACTAATATTAGGTTGTCAAATGTCTCCCTTCCGCTTTTTGCTCTTGGTTTATAATACAAAAAGGCGAAGGGAGATATTTGACAACCTATTATATATATATATATATATATATATATTATATATATATATGTATATATATCTATATATATGTATATATCTATATATTTCTATATATATATATATATATATATAACTATATATTAAAAAGAAATATAACAGTAAAATACAGTACACCTATAAGTCTGTTTTTACACGGTAGATTGGTTCCAGAAGAAGCCGTGTAAAAAAAAACATGTAAAAAAAGACATTGATCTTATACAAAAATGGGTGATTTTTGGTTTTGGATGGTAAATTGCAATTTAATTTTTCTTTATAGTTCTTATTGTAGCTTCATTTAAACCGAACGTTTTACCAAGAGCAGTTGAGCCTTCTCCATTTCGAAGGCGATCTAAAATTTTAATCTTGGTTTCCAAAGAAATTGCCTTCCGTTTTAGTTTTATATCTGACATTTCCTTTTAGGGATACATAAAATATTTAACAAAATTAAAAAACATAAATAACTGAATAAATACAAATATTTTTTGGCTTACCTTGTATCTTAATGCGTTAAAATTAAATTTAATGGTAAATCAAATTTGCCTGCAAAAAATTTCTTTACCAAACACGTCTTATTGCATTGACAGTTCACAAAATATCAACACGTTTCAATTGCTCTGACCAGTAAATTTTATTGTATGCACATAAAGGGAATTTCCCTAAATTAGCGCTATTCACATTTGCTTTGACCAGTAAAAATTGTTTGTACGCGCTAAAAGGGAATTCACTTAAATCTTTAAGCTAGTGTTCGCAAACTATCGATACTATCGATGGTTTCAGACTTTTTTCTTTCATAAATACTTTTTTGTGATATGAACATACTTCGCAAAAATTAAATTTGACAAACAAAATTTAAGTACATAAAATTTCAAATCGTGCTAAATAAAATATAATCGTGTAAAAAAATTAAAAATATTCAATTTTCAAACCGTGTTATATCAAAACCGTGTACAAAAAGACCGTGTAAAAACAGACTTAGGTGTACATTAAAATAGTAATTGTTAAGAAAAAACTAATATGTACAGTACAGGCCAAAAGTTTCCAGACACATGAAAAAAATCTCATTTTCTGAGTTTTTAGCTATATTTTTCATATAAAAATAATTTTATTCAAGTTAGTTTTGTACATTCTACGTAGTATTCTACGTAATATATATATATTAAAAAGAAACATATTTTTAATATACATATACGAGGTCTGTTCAAAAAGTACCCGGAATTTTCGTTTTTTCAAAAAAATATTTATTTATTCGTCTACATTAATGTGGTCCCCTTCAAAGTAGTCCCCCCCAGATATAATACACTTATGCCAGCGTTTTTTCCAATTTTCGAAGCACCCTTGATATTCACTTTTGATATGTCCTTGAGCACTCTCAGCGATTCGGCCTTTATTTCTTCAATCGAGGAAAACCGCCGTCCTTTCATGGGTCTCTTCAACTTTGGGAATAGGAAAAAGTCACACGGAGCCATATCTGGTGAATATGGAGGTTGGGGCATGACTACGGTATTGTTTTGGCCAAAAAATTACGAACAAGCAACGACGAGTGAGCAGGTGCGTTATCGTGGTGCAACAGCCATGAATTGTTTTTCCATAAATCGGAGCGTTTTTTTCGGATTGCTTCACGCAAACGTCGCATCACTTCAAGGTAATACTCCTTATTAACCGTACGACCTTGTGGTAAGAACTCTTGATGCACTATGCCGTTATAATCAAAGAAAACAGTAAGCAAAACCTTGACATTCGATCGAACTTGACGTGCTTTTTTCGGTCTTGGCTCACCTGGGCTCTTCCATTGGGACGATTGGGCTTTGTTTTCGACATCATAACCGTACACCCATGTTTCATCACCAGTTATGACCCTTTCAAGCAAACTTGGATCGTTGTTGACGTCATTTAACAGCTCTTGAGCGATGTTCATGCGATTGCTTTTTTGGTCAAAATTTAGCAGTTTTGGAATGAATTTTGCTGCCACTCGTTTCATGCCCAAAACATTTGAAAAAATGTTATGACATGAGCCAATTGATATGCCAACTTCATCAGCAACTTCTCTAATTGTGATTCGGCGATCATTCATAACCATTTTTTCCACTTCTTTCACATTTTCATCGTTTGTTGACGTGCTGGGTCGACCGGAGCGTTCGTCATCTTCAACGTCTTCGCGGCCATCTTGGAAACGCTTATACCACTCGTAAACACTTGTTATTTTCATAGCAGACTCACCATAGGCTTAATTAAAAAGAAATACTATCGCGTATATTAAAAAGAAATACTAACTATGAAATTGGCATTCTGTCTTAAGGGGTTAGGGGTACTTGGAATTTCTGAAAAATCGATTTTTATATTTTTGCATTTTCATTAAGTGTAATATCTTGAAAATGTTCTCTGAAAATTTCAAGTTGATCCGATGATTACTTTTGAGTTATTGGACCCTTACCAGCGCGTTGACGCAAGTGGAGAGCTCGATACTTATACTCAAGATTATTCTCCCTCACATCCTGATGTTTTAAAAGCTTTTAAACCGATTGAAAACGATGTCAGCAATGATAATTTACTTTCAAAATGTGTAGTTCAAGATTGAATCCATAATCAGGAAAAATTAAGAGCTTCAACCAACTAGTCTAAAAACCGTGAATACTAGTTCTACTATCGTACACATTGCCGAATACATATACATAATCATTACTATTGATTATGGGTACCCTAGGACCTAATTGTGGGTATAATTCCCATTGGTATGCTGAAAAATTGAATGCTGCACGTGTGAAAGTAGCAGATCAGCGCGCCCACGAGACGACACGGGAGGGCAGAATGCTTCGTAGGCAACACCAAATGGAAATTTTGGAAACTTCCACAATGACTGAAGAATTGTTATATGGCACAGGAATAGATGACTCGGTGTAAATAAATTAATAATTCGTATTTCTGTACGTAAATCCAATGTAAAACTTTGAACGCGTTTTTCTCAAAACTATGTTTCTTGAATCGGTGACCACTGTAACTCAAAAACCGCTTAGTAGATTTTAATGAAATTTATACAGCTTCTAGAATACATAATAAACTCGTGCCTGATCGAAGGATTTTTATTTTTTCAAAAATTTGAATTTTTTAAGACCAATTAACTGTTGATTTTTTACCCAAAAATCTAGATTTTTTCTTTCTGATGCTGCCATTTTGTTAATTTTTGCAAAAAAAAGAAAACCTTCGATCCGGCCCGGGATTAACTATTCATAAAACTATTTTTTCAATTTGATTGATTTTAGATGAATATCCAAGGAGTTATGATGGTCACCGCCAGGACCGTTTTTCGAAACAGGGTCAACAAAAACAGCTATAACTTTGGGAATATTGATTTTTTTCTTCTGAAATTTTTGTTACATCAAGTCAAAACATTGTATAATAATGCTGTATTAATATTTTTGTAGAAAAACATCGTTTAATAACCAAAAAGAAATACTGAAAACACTCATTATTTCGTGCCTGCAAGTACCCCTAACCCCTTAAGGTAAGTTGCAAAAACTTCCCGATAGAAGTAATAATTGACTTAATCAACAGAAATTGGGATCTAGGTATTCAGATAAAATTTTCAACTATTTATTTCGAAAATCATGTTTTCGTTTTCACTTAAACCTGAACATTGCGATTTTCAATTGAATTCACAATTTCAAACACATTTAAATAATGTGTAATTATAATGCGTAGACCCATGCTTGTACATTTTAAAAGCATCCATTATTACTAATTTCAATGACTTTATATAATTCGGCAAATTTTTGTAAGTCAGTTCTGTGCATGAATTTATTGCTATGTTCAATTTCGTTTAAAACATCAAAACATTCTTTTAAGAAACTTAATACATTATTTTACGAAATATTAAGCATCTGCTATAAGAAAATACTGACACGACTACATATATCATGTACGTAGTTTTATATTATTTAATCATTCATTTAATTTAATGGTAACGTTTTTTACACAACTGGAGAAGTTTTGTAGACTGCTCATTGGGTGACAGATTTATAAGCTTCCCGAAGGAGAAGTTTATGTTTTCATAAAAAAATCCGATTCGCTAATTTTATGTTTTCTTGACGTTTCAAGCCATTCTGAATCGAACGAAATCAAATTTGAGAAAAGTATGTGTATGTGTATGTGTTTATGTGTGTGTGTGTGCGTGCATGTGAACAGACTGTTTGTCGTAAATCGATATTTTCTCAAAAGCGACTCGACCGATTTCAAAAATTTAAAAGCCATTTGATGTATCTCGATGAGGACTATTGTTTATCAGACGATCGGTCTAGCCGTATCTTTATAAATAGCAGAAAAGTGAAACATTTTTGCTTCGAAAAAAAAATTCATAAAAATATAAAACAACTTACACCATCTTTTAATGATTCAGGTGCCATCCAGCGCACAGGCAGAAGACCTTTGGTACCCTTCCTATAATAATCTGTTTCATAAATATCTCGCGTCATACCAAAATCTCCAATCTTTACAGTTAGGTTTTCTGAAACCATGCAATTCCTAGCTGCTAAATCTCGATGCACAAATTTTTTTGCTGAAAGATATGCCATTCCATCAGCTATTTCAATAGCCATCTGTAATACGAACAGATAAATATAACATATAGAAATATTTTATACAACTCAATAAAAATAGTATAGAAAACTCAATCAACACATGCACTTTTCCTCTACATTTCAGATTCATTAATGAATTACAACTCTTTAATGAATGCCCTCGTGAAAATCTTTCCCTGGCTTTGATTTTACTATGTTCTATAATTATCTTTTCTAATTTCGCGATCATCAATAATAGTGAAACATTTTTACAAAATATAAAACTTGAAACATTCGCCTATTTTATAAATTACTATTTTATTAATCATCACTATCACTATAAACGAACAATCAAATATATAAATAACCGTCCATTAATCTCGTGAACGTTTTTCAAACATTGTTTCAAAATTTCAAACGGCAAAATCAAAATAAGTCATTTCATAAAACATATATTTGCATTTTCTTTTAAAATCCGTTTATTTATGCAAAAATGGGTATTATTTAGTTAGAGGTAGTAAACAATTCTTGCATCGAGAAAAAAATTATCATAAAAATTAATTAGAGTTAAATGATAGTTAGTTAATTAGATGTTAAAATAGTAAATGGACATATGAACGTCAAATTATAGTTATTCACAGATATTTTATTATTTCTCTTTTTGCAACCAAATTTTCGTCTCTGAACAAATAATGAAAATTCTTAGACCTTAGTTAAGCACTTCGAACTATTTTACCTTTTCAAATACAGTTTTTACATTTTGGCCATAAATTTTAAATGTTTTCCATTGACTCAACTTAGGCTTCCATAATAAATAAAAGATTTTTACATTTTTTATTATTAAAAATCTGATTTTATATAGAATTTACAGTACCGTACAATCAAAAAACATACTGAACGAGAATGTTTCGAATAAAATAACCATGGGTATTTTATATTTTCTCGACGTTTTTTCTCGAGGGAATAGCAATAAAAATCATATAAAAGCAGTTAAAGACACAAGATGTTATAATATATTTATACTAAATATAATCACTGATTATATTTGATTATATCACTGGATACTGATTATTATTCAGTATCCAATATTTTACATCATCATGCCTTGAATTGGTAAATGTTTATAAATCACCTGTAAAATTCTCTTAAGTGTTGGTGGTTGTACGCAAATCTCCGGATCATACACATCACTATCTGGACGATGAGAGCGAAGATAGCTTTTGAGATCACCATTGGCCATCAATTCCATAACCACTAAAGTAGGCTGACCACGGGAAACAACTCCAAGCAGGCGTACCACATGGGCAGTATCAAACGCTTTCATGACAGATGCCTCGTTCAAAAACTCAATGCGCTCGCGATCCGTGGCGTGCTCATTCACAGTTTTAATCGCACATTTGATTTCACTGTTGCCTTGTACTAAATCGCAAGCTATACCCTCGTACACCTATATAAAATATATACGTCAGACATAAATAAAATAAGATAAAGTCAACGTAATATTGATTTAATCCTGATTGCGCTATGTGAATGAAACATTGAGATAATAATGTTCATAATGATATGATTTTTATTTATATGCAGAACACAGCAACAAGTGATCGGGCACCTACAGTAATATTTAAAAAACTTGAATATCAAAATGTGCCAATTCAATTTGAATATCAGATCTAGATTATGCAAGCAAGCATATGGCAATTGCACTGCAATAGGTAAACCATCCATTTAATTTATACATACTTCTACATTCATAACCAGTTAGTTATTTTTTATACAAAAGATTATTTGGAATTTTTCTTTAGTGCTGAACAACGTTTGCCGAGCCAGCTAGCTATATATATATATATATATATATATATATATATATATATATATATATGTAGCGGCCTGTCAACACGCATCGCATTTCTACTGGACAGATAGGCTCATATAGTGACAGCACGGAGGAAACAAAATAATTCAAGTGTCAGATCTGATCTCGCATTTGTCTCCCTAGTCTAATTTGCCAAAATTATAATTCTTGAAACCTTTTCTTTTCAATTGTAAATACAAAAATACCAATCACATTTTATAAACGATCAATATGATAACACATAGTGTCGTCAATATTAATCTTACGTAAAATAAACCAAATATAAAACTTAATATATCCTGGAATTTATTATGACTACATATTGGATCATTTTGGTATAACATATGGACTACTACCTCCACATATATATATATATATATATATATATATATATATATATTTATATATTAACAAAGTCTAATAATCGGGCATAACATCAATAAAAAACATTGAAAGGATTCGCAATTTTTTTAAAATGTATTTCTCCATTACATCTTCAACCAGTCTACGAATAACACACTATTATTTGTGATTTTTTAAAATTAGTATTTTGTGAAAATTATGTGTAATTTCAAGTTAATGTTTATAACACATAGTGTAGTGCATTACCATATCCTGATACCATGGATTATTAAAATTTTCCAATTTAACACTAAGATCAACTAATTGTAAGTACTATTTACTATTTTATTTTTTCTTTTCACTCCAATTCAATTGTTTTAGTTTTTAATTTTATTTTTAGTTTCCACTGAATGAAGGCCGAAACGTAAGGATTATAGCCGAAACGTATGGATTAAAATAAATTTTTGAAACAAATTCATGTTTTTTATTGATGTTATGCCCGATTATTAGACTTTGTTAATACATATGTCAACATCAAATTCAGAATCATACAAAATATATATATAAATAAATATATATATATATATATATATATATATATATATAAAATTGTTATAGAAAATATAGAAGACCAGGAAGCATGCAAATAGAAGTTTGGAAAGAAAAATGCATAAAAATGAATAAAAAGTAATGCATGGTCATTATTTAATAGTAATAAAATGGTAATAATAATTACAAATAAGGGAGAGGAAGGAAATCATTGATTTGTGTTCTCATACCAAGGACCTGCAGACTACTATTTATTATTGATATTATTATTATTATTATATATATATTATAGTATAGTATATTAATATACCATTCCAAAAGAGCCTTGACCCAATTCCCTTATCAATTTTATTTTCTCTCGGGGAACTTCCCATTCATCAGGTTGGTACTGCATACTGACATATTCAGGATTAACAGAAGTGATTAACTTAATGCTAGGCGGAGAAAAATACTTTCTGTGCACAAAATATGCCAAAATGGATAATATAAATGAAAGAAGTAGTGCAAGAAAAGTATATCCAACAATTTCGCCAGAAGTTAGGCCAGTAGATGGTTCCTACAAAAAAAACATGTTTCATTATGTCGAATAATGTTCATTTTAACTTCAAAATAATTTTAACAAATTTTATATTAATTTGATGACAGTGTGATTTTGCATTACTATTTATGGTCTCTACGTATATATATATATATATATATATATATATATATATATATATATATATATATATATAGTAAGTTATCCTCAGGCAATACAATAAATGAAAGAAACTTCTGAAAATTAGTTCTTAATTTTTCCAAACACTTTGATATTAAATTTTCATCATCATCAGTGACTACATTTATGGTGTCTTACATCAGTAGATGTACACAGAGCACATAATTCAGCACTACCATTTATACATTAACTTGTCTTGAACAGTGTAATTTTTTGTTTTAAATAAAGTAATTGAATATTTTACGCTCGAAGTAAATTGTAATTGTAAGTTACTCTTGCTAAAATAATCTGTAATTTTTGTGAACCATTCATGTTTCATAACTCTGCTTTATTTAATTACTCTATTTAAAACAACAAAAAAATCTCGTTAATTTTGAATATTAATATGTAATATATTCACAAATTTTTATATAGGTCTTTTATTTACTTTCATTTTAATAATGTTAATAAAAAAAATATAAAGACTGTTACCATTATCAAAAAGTATTTCATTTCGGAATATTTTCCATTTCCAGCTTTTGAGACGGCCATTACACGAATGCTATAATTTCCTGGAGTTAAATTCTTAATTGCATACATACGATTCCTGTCTATAAAATCTTGCTGTGTCACGCATATTGGAACAGGTTTTGCCTTAAAAGATTAAAAAGTGCTTAGATATATTTATATAAATGAATGGCATAAATGATTAGGTATGAATATATTATATAAAGAAAACATTAACAAGTAAGTCAAGTCAAATGAATAACAGGTATATTTGCAGAAAAATAATTGTAAAAATAATTTTGAATAACCATTTGTAAAAGATATTAGTAAAATGCTGTCATTAAAGTACAATTTTCAAAGTTACAATAGCCAAAATTTGTAAGCAAAACAAAAACATGGTACTATTATGCTCAGTTAGTCATTATGCATGCTCATCAAAATTTTCACTCAAAATATAAGTAAAAAAAATTAGGCACTTTATATAATAATATTTGCATTGCTTGCAAAATTATAAAATACTTTAATTTTATGCTAAGGTGGTTTCATAACATGAAAATCAGTATGCTCTGCATTGTTTTTATAAAAAAAAATATTTGGACAAAAACATACATAAGAATCAATTTCATTTTTAAATTATTGCGACAATAAATACATTATGTCTTACATCAATTAAATCCACTCGGTTATACTCTATTTGGTACATATATATTAGACCATTAGGCTCTTTGGGTTCTTCCCATGAAGCTACTACTTCGCCCAGACTTTGATTTGTAGAAATAACTTGTGCGCGAAATACAGTTATATCATCAGAACCCTCTGAAAAAAAAATTGAGAAGCAAGTTATTAACATGCATGTTCAAGATTTGCTTTGTTTGAAGCATATTAAATAATGTAACTGTTAATAAGATACTCTTATTAAATTTTAAACATTTGAACACAAATATTGTAAAACACCAGGTCAGATATGTCATATTTGATCTGAAAAAAAAGTGTGATTGTGAAGTGAAAATTTTTCTCTTAATGCAAATGAAAATATAAATAATATAATTTAATTGCGCATAAATAACAAAAATTTACAATTAAGAATAAATGGTTCGAATTTTTCTTATAAGCAAATATCACTCAAAGAGATTACTCATAAATTCTCATATTAAAAAAAAAGTATATGCAACTATAAAAAGTATGATTAACAGCTAAAATCGATTTACATGTGCTCTAAATTGAATTTGTTTGAATCACATATATTTGTTATTGATAAGCAATTCTTTGTAAATAGCGATTAAACTTTTATGACAGAATTTGTAAAATTCAACAATTTTCACTAATCAACTCAATCATTTCTAGGTATTAGAGTATCATTGAACTTTCCTTTTAAAAATTTACACTTACATTAGACGTTTTCAATGAGACTTTTTTGAACTTAAACCTTTTTCCTAAATTTATTTATTGCATCTTGATTAATTTTATAAAGTTTGTCCTATTATAATTATATATTAGGTAAATAAAAAAATAATACACTAAATGTGAGAGTTTTGTTAGTTATCCATATAAGTTTTAGAAATACCGAGCTTGAGAGTTCTTTCATTTCTCATTTTGCTTTCACTGCAAAGTTTATTATCCTTATCTGCAGCTACTCTTTCCCGGCATGCGCGCAGACTTATGCTATACAGAGCATAGTGCTTCAAATTTTTTATCACAAACGAAGTGCCGTTCGTTTTGATTTGTGGATGAATACCTATGTCAAACATTTTTATATATTACATTCATGTAAGTAAATAATAAAATGATTATTTTAAATTGTAATGGCTATTTTCTTACTTGTATTTGGATTTGCACTCGATGTTGCATTTGATTCTATCATATAGTTTCTCTGCGATTCTTCAGAATATCTTTCTTTAGCCAATTGAACATCCGAATCCAAAATCATTCGTTTATATCGATCCGGATTTGGCCTGAATAAGATTAATAATTAAAATTTAGAAATTTCCATTTTATAATAATTATTATTCAAATTATGCTAAAATATGGTAAAATTGAAATGATATGATATTTCAATGAACAAAGACTATCAACTATTATATATTGAACCTTAAAACAAGATAATTTAGCACAAGTTTAATCTCGAGTTACCATTCAAGTTATAATAACAAAATGTCAATGCAGCACAAATAGTAATTACTATTGAGTATTGAACTATAGCATATTTTTTCAAAATTTCCTATGAATATGGTTAATCAAGCAGATAGATATATACAAAGTATTACTTCTCATATTTTATATAGACTTGATTCTGCAATTGGTCTTCAAATGAGATGCTATTATCAGCTTCAGCCTGCCCGATTATTTTAGGCTTGTTCTCAATTTCGTTGCTTGAACAATTGCAAGTGTTATCTGAACTTGCGGGAAATATTTCTTCTTTTACTATCGGCTTAATATCTGCCACTTTTATAGCTGTAACAACAAAACACTCATGTAATGTAGTATTATTTCCTTCCAAAATTTTAATATAGAGGCGTTGTACAGCGTAAAGCGAACAAAAAAATTAAAACTAAAGAAATCATTCAATGTATTTTCGTTATTTTCGATTTAGAAAGAAAAAAATAAAATTTGTTTTTAATTTAATCATTCTACTGTTGCAAAAAATCCTAAGCCTGTCTAAGTCTCTACCCACCTACTTTTCTACCTGTCTACCTGTCCACCTGTTTACATATATACCTGTTACCTTGTACGCCAGTCTGCCTAGTTATCTACATATCTGCATGCCTATCTTTCCACCTCTCTATCATGCAATCTGTCTACCTGTCATTCTTTGCATATGTCTACCTGTCTACCTTTCCATCTGGCTATAACTATACCTAGATCTAGCTGTTTATTTGTCTATCTGTCAACCTGTATATCGTTCGATGTGTCTATCTGTTTACCTATATATCTGTCGGCTTGTATATCTTAGATAGTCTCAATGATGTTGGCAATTCACCTTTTGATCTGTTGAGTAGTTATTATTAGGCGTTCGCTGAAAAATAGAGAATCGAAACAAACATATTCGTCATATTCTGCTTTTCTATTTCTGCAAAGAGAAAAAAATCGCAAGACATCGCAGCTCACAAAAAGTGTGGAGTTTATGGTGACGAAGCCATAAAAACCAGTTGTGTCAAAATTGCTTGGCCAAATCACGTTCTGTGATTTTTCACTTAAAGATGAAAAATGCTCTGGTAGTGCATTTGTTGACAATCCATCAAAACAATAATCGTTTCGGATCAGGTAAACGAGATAGAACTACCTGAATAGCCAACTGATGAAGACATTGTTATCGGGTTTTTAGGATCACAAAGAAATTAACTACTTTGAACTCTTAGCTTCTATCTAATCGAATGATCAATTCTGATATCTACATTGGACTACCAACGAAATTAAACAATGCAGTTGAACGAAAGCAGCCCAAATGGACATATCGAACAGACTTTATATTACATCATGACAAGATATCGCCACTCGACAAAAAATATTGGAGCTTAGTTAAAATGTTTTTCCACATCTACCATATAGTCCTGATCTTACACAACATCAGACTACTTTCTGCTTCGATCTCTAGAAAACTCCGTGAATGGTATAAATTTCGATAACGATGATGGTGTCAAATTGTACCGGATTCAGTTTCTTATTAATAGTTTTATGAATGTGGGATTATGATTGTGCTTCAAAGATAAGAAAAGATCATTGATCAAAATGAGCAATACATTAAAAAATTAGTTGAAAGTGGCATTTTGCCTTAAGCCAAGTTGGATGAACTTCCCAAAATGTGTAATAATTAACATAATAAACCAAAATTAAGATTCAGATAGTTAGATAACACTTTCAACTTTCGCTTTCAATTAAATCTAAACTTTGCGATTTCCAATTGAATTTTCTTTCAATAATATTTTTTCAAACTTTGATGAATTTTTAAAATTAAACTGCTCGTCGTAGGGCCGTAATATTTTTGTAAATTCTTTAGAATCATAAAAAAGTTAGACTAGAGTCAAAAAAATGTTTCATAAAAATCTCAAAAAAATTGCACTAGTTAATTACAAGAAAATGGCTCCTTTACTGAAAACTAATCAGTATGAATCCCAACCAATATCTTTCGAACAGTTTTTGATTTTTGAAAATCGATTCAGTATTGTGAGCGTGGACAAAATGTTTTACACTTTTATGAAAATTTTAAAGAAATGACTCGGCCGATCGTCGCAGAAAACTGAGAAACGATAAGTCACGTCGAAATACATCGAATGGCTTTTAAATTTTTCAAATCGGTTCAGACGTCTTTGAGCAAACGTTGATGAAACGTCTAATTTTGACAAACGCGAAAAACGATTTTTTTTTCAAATTAAAGGACTTGTCGTAGAGCCGTAATATTATAGTATAATCTATAAGACCATGGTATCGTCAAATAAAAATAATATAAATCGTCGAAAAAATATAACAATGTATTACAAGAAAGCGGCCCGGCCGATCTTTACCAAAAACTAATCAGCACGATTTCCAACCAATAATTCTCAAACCGTTTTTGAGTTTTCAAGATCGATTCGGAATTACGGATCACACATTTTCTTCAATTTTGATCTTTCAAGGTTTTCATGAGAAAGTTGGTTTTACATGTTACCAAAATATAAAAATAACTAGTGGCGCATTACATCGAATCTTAGGAAAAATTGCTGGAACTTTTAGGTTGATCCGTGCTCCCAAAAACGTAGACGAAAATTGTATCCACACACGCACGCATTCATTTTTGTAAGGTATTCCAAAATGTTCAAAAACTTACGAATCGTAAAGACATTGCAAAAATTTAAACTCATAAATTTATTTTAAGAAACTTAGTTTTCTTTCTATTATTATCTGGATGGATGCCTGTTAAAAAGTTTTTTGTTTTAACAAATATATATATATATATATATATATATATATATAATATCGAAAAAAATCTAACCGTCTTTGCAATAATTTCTGTCGTTGACATCAGGTTGATATTTAACATCGATAATGTAATGAGTTACGTTTCCATTCGGTGTTATTGGAGGTTCCCATTTGACAACAATTTCAGAACTTGAGTTTGAATGTACCGTCATTTTTTGAGGTGGGCTTGGCTCTGTAAATCAAGTTTAAAGATATTATATTAGATTGATAGTGAATTTTAAGAAAATGCTATTTTTTTTGTGTGGTTATTATATGCATGCACATATTTTAGTTCATTCATGTAGTTTAAATCTAAAGAATATTTATAAATAACATTACCATGTTAAGTAGAATATGAAACACTCAATTTTTTAATTAAAATACATTCATTTATTTATATAAACGCATATAATACTGAAAATTTCATAACTTTCTACCAATATAAAATTTGAAAATTAATACATAATATATATACAAGTAGACTTTATACACAATACTTTGGTAACAAAATACTTTGGTAAGTTATGAATTCTTTGACTCACAATTATGTCTAATGAGAGTGTATAAAAATATAAAAATTTGTTATAAAACTCTGATATTGATAAAATATAATAATCGTGGTAGTCAAAATCAACTTTAATTAATTAATACGTTAATTCACGTTAAAGAAATTAAATTGACGTTTATTAGTTCATTATTCAATCTTCTGATAAAATTCTTGCATGTCAGTTATAGATATTATGAACATAATCTATAAATATTAATTGCTAAATATTTATAAATAAATTCAGAAATTAAAAATATTATTTATAAATCTTATATTTAATAAAAAAATATTAAAGTTATAACACTTACTAAAATCATTCAATAAGCGTCTATATATCATGACAAATAACATATAGAAGAAAAATTTCGTATATGATTATTATAAGAAAAAATACTTACGATCGGGTAAGGTTGTAAAATAAAGAACCGGACTTTGGCCACCTTCTACAGCTGAAGCTATAGTGTACGTCTTAACGTAGAAAGCATATTGAGTGTAGGATTCGAGATGTGTAAATATGTGAAGAAATTCACTTGCTTGAGGCTGATTAGCTACGTCTTCGACAATCCATCTGAAAAGTTTATTTATAAGATTTATTTAGTTTGTTCATAAATCGAGAGCTTCAAGCGGCTTGCTAATATACAAAAATAGCATAGCATTTGTTTTATTCAAACTAGTTTTAGTAATCAGAGTAGGGTGCGGTGGACAGACATGGGCCACAGGTTAAAGAGGGCCACCCGAATAACCTTGAGACTAGTGACATGTATGTCAAACCGCGTACATATTTATCATATTTTGATACTTGCTCAATTTTAAAAAGCATTTGGAGGTTATAAACCTACTCTCGCACTGTGCAGAGAAACGCGCTAAGAACTTCGCCGAGAAAGTTTTTACCGTCGCACGCTCTTAAGTGATTTGTCATCGAATTTTCACGAGAAAAATACAAGTAAATTTTCAATATATTATATAGACATATAATCTTTGTAATGCAAAGTAAGTTTTACCGATTATTTACATTGTGTTTTAGTGGGATGCACATGCAAAAAAGCGTTTGTAGATAGAAGTGGGCCACTATTTGTGGACAGATATGGGGCACTTGCGCAATGCCGTTCTTTGCATAGTAAAGTATTTTTATTAATTAATCAAATGTCTTATTTACTTATTTTTATCTCTGCAGTCATAATACCTCCTAAAAAACAAAAAAACTCATAAAAAAGTGGTGAATTATGAACAATTGATTATTGCTTTGAAGGAAGTAAAAATAAATAAAATATCGGAGCGTGTTGCTTCTGCTGCTATTAACGTTAGCAGATTATCTTGTCAACGCATCAATATATTCCCTAAAAACAGAGAGGTCGCAGTAGAAGCAGCACATGGTCAAAAATTGCAAGTACCAGCAAAAGTTTACAAGAAGGCCAAAATACTTCACAATCAGCTGTGAAAAAGGCAAAAGATGAAATTCTACAGTTTCTTTGAGTAAAGACAACGATTTTGGCATGATTTGCAATAGATTGATGTTGGCGTAGCTGTCAAGAGAAAACTCTATCGAGTGCGATAACTGCGACAGACCCTTCCACTTGAGCTCTCCAGCTTCATTTTGTAATAAATTGACAAAATACTTTTTATGTGCTGTACAATATTAAAAAGCAAATCCATCAAAATCTCCCAATATGTGATAAAAATGGCTTATATGAACTTTTAAAAGATCCCTACTTCTATATGAATTTCATAATCAAAATCGCATTATGAACTGAATTGGTAATATATATATATTTGATTTTAAAACGAAAATAGTGGTGCATGTCAAACCAAAAAAAACTTTAAAATTTTCTAAAAATTGAAAAAATAGATTCTAGAAAATTTTGAAACTTTGAAAAAAATTGATTAACTTGTACAATGTTTTTTTATATCTTGATTTTTTTTATATCCTGCAATTTTTGTATTTTTTGTACTTTTTTCTCAAAGCAATCGCGTTGCGTAGCTGTTCCAGAGCCGATATATCGAAGCACGTAAGCGCCACATAGCAGTCTAACGCATAAATATTGGTATGGAACCCAAAATGTAAACAAAATTTGTACATACATATTATTAAAATCTGTACAAAATATTGATGAATTGGTGAGCGTATGTCTAATGATCATTTTGACCGCCAAATGGTATCCTTTTACTTTTTTATTGGATCTCTGAAACTGCTGGATCTGTCTTTTCAAAAATGTAATCAGTTCTTCATTACAAATGAAATGTTTTACGAAATATTCAAATTGGACGGTCCTTTCTCTCAAACCTAGCAAAAATTAATCAGTACCTCTCCATTCTATTCTCAATCAATGCGAATCGAAATGCGAATAGATTTTAATAGTTTTAAAGAGAGAAAATAAAACAGTTTTATCGTATCCATTCCTTTAGTATACTAGATATGTGATAAAGAATCTCAAAAGCCATTCTATAATTTTTTCCAAAAAAAAAACTCGATCAAATTAAATTCAGTTTATAAAAGTTAACTGCATCAAACGGTACGTATGATTTACTTACCCATCACCACCACAAGCATCGCGACCATCGTATACTGTAACATTTCGATACCGAGCCTTCATGCGCGATACCACATAGCCTAGAAGTACACGTTGATCTGGATATGGAAATGGTTCCCATTTTATTAAAACAGCCTTCTGAGATATGGCAGCAATAGTTACGTTTAAGCGTTTTACGTTACCTAAAATCGATTTCAATCAGTTATTTTTTTATAATTTTGTTTATTATGATATATACAATAAATTATGATGTAATTTATGTAAAGTTAATCAATATTAGTGGTCCGCTCTGAAAGGTTTATGCGTAGATAAGGAAATGGGTTTATGTATTAATGCTAGTTATTAGTTTTTATACTAAAATTTTAATAAAAGTTCGCAAAAGAATTACAATCATTTATCAAAATTTATGAAGAAAGTTTAATAATGAAGATTTAATATGTCATAATATTTTCTTAAAGTAAGTTACAGCAATCACAGAAAATATCGAAAAAGAAAGTTTTTAGAAATTTTACATTAGAATAAATTTGTGTATGTGTATGTATGTGCGGATTGACGGTGCACTTTGAAAAGGTTCGTGTAACTTTTCGTCGACGATTTCGGGAGCATGAATCAATAAATTTGAATGAATAAAAAACATTCAATTTGTGTGGAACACAAAAAAAGCAAATTTTGTTTCATTTGTTCAAGCAAATTTTTTTTAATCATTCTATATATTGATTTAAAGACTCAGATTTAAGTTTGTTCTTTATTATTATTTAATTAATGTTTTAAGTTTAATAATATGATTTCGATACTTCTTCAGGTAAAATAATAATTTATTGTAAATGCTCAGTATTATTTGAAATAATTATGCTTCAATACTTTTACATGTAAATAAATGACATATGAATATAACAAAAGAATATTAGATATGTGATAACAAGTATTATTGATTATTATGGCAACAAGTGTAACAGATAAAGAGAGATAGATAAAAGGACAATGCGTGTTGATAGAGATTGGCCAAACTTAACAAATCAGAAGAGAATATTCATTGCTTTCATAAGGACTCATCAAGTAGAATGAATAGAATCGGACTAATAAACTAGTGGTGCATGGCATTGAGCCTCAAAGCAAATTAGCTGGAACTTCCCGTACCAGAAATACATTTTTTAAAAAGCTTGAGAATTTTGAAATTTTTGATTTTTTTTTTTATATTTTGATATTTAACAATGGAATTTATAGTAATATGATCTTTAAAAAGTTTTTAGCACAATACCTTTTCAATAGCATTAATACTTTGCTTCATACTTTTTCAGTACTCGGTATTGATACTTAGCCTCGATACTTCTAACACTAACTGCAACTCAATGCGAAATTTTGACCAAAATATACTAATAAGACAGAAATACTAAGAAATACTATTCGCAGTAGTGTGTATTCCATTATGAGAACTAATATTACCTGAATTGAAAAAAAAACTTACAAGGAACTCTGTCTCCGTTATGCATACAACATACATAGTGACAATATGTCACCGCTAGGGTTGCTGGAAGATTCACCCTGGCGACATAGTCGCCAAATGATTAAAAAATATACACAATACAAAATTGAATTTTGAAAAATTCTCAATCAAATGAAAACATAATGCATTAATAACAGACATTTTTTTAAAAAAAAGAAAGCGACGCCTAGCTTAAACCCAAAATTTATGAAAACTAATATTATCTGAATTAAAAAAAAACTTACAAGGAACTCTATCTCCGTTTGAATTCTGATCGATTTCAAGAGGCGTTTTGCTCATATTTCTCAATTCATCAATCTTATCTTTGCATAACTTGGGATTAAAATGAAATGATAAACTACCATTGCCGATCTCTATAGGTCCATGTTTTTTCCAATCCCATAAATCTTGTAAGTTTGCATTGTCCATAACCACAAGTGAGTACCTTAAATTGAAAATAAATAGAAATTGAAAAGATATAGTCTAAAAAAGCTGAGGGTGCAATATTTTAATAACATTACCTTCCATTATCTAAAGAAGATCCTCTAATTTTTTTTAGGCTCTTTAAAAAATTTAATGATACTAATGGATACGATCTAACTATTTTCAAATATCCATTTATTTCTTGAATCATTGCCAAATTTTCCTCAAGTTCTTTCACAATATTTACTGCAAATAAAATATTACCATAAATTAAATTTTCCAGGGGAAAGAAGGATGGAAGCATTTACTAAATATTTGTATGGTATATCATACTAGTCATATCATATTAAAATTTATTTAAATCATGTTTTAAATTTAAAACAAATCACTTATATATACAATGTTCAATTTTAATTCTTTGTGTATAATTATTGTTAACGAATATCAACTTACTTGCTCCAATAATTTTTATCTCCAGGCTCTGAAGTATATGTGTGCAATATTTCAATTGTTGTGCTGAAGCAATATTGTTCACAACACCACCATTACACTCTCTCCTACAGTCATCTGAAATTATTAAATATACCAACATTATATTATATATATATATATATATATATATATATATATATATATATATATATATATTCTTCAGTTGAACTGCTACATGAAACTTTCACACATTTTAAAATTTTCAAAAAAATTTAAAATTCCAAAGTTCCCTTATATAGTTAAAATACATAATTTAGCAATAAGTGAAGGAAATATCTTTTATTTAGATAGTATTTCTAAATTTCTCACAAAACAATAAAAAAATTCAAAATGTGCAAAAAAATTCGCAATTAGTTAGTAGTTAGCAATTAGATCCACACATGAGAATCTTAGTAAAAATATTTTTTAAAAAAACATTTCTCCATCATGTCTTCAGCCAGTTTACCGCCACATATTGCACATAATCTATTTGTGATATTTTTATGTTGGTATTTTGAGAATTATTGTTTAATTGCAAGTTTAATGTTTTTATTACATAGTGTAGCGCATTACAATATTCTGATATCATTTTTTATTGAATTTTCTGTTTTAATTCTAATATTAACTAATTTAAGTACTTTTTACTCTATCATTTTTAACAATTCAGTTGCTTTAGTTTTTAAATTTTATTTTTAGTTTCCACTAAATAAAAGCTAGGATTATAGCCTAAATGTATGGATGTAAAATAGATTCTTAAAAAAAAAATGTTTTTTTATTTATGCTATGCCCGATTATTAAACTTTGGCAATAAATAATATATTATATTGATATTAGAGCGGGTCGATTTGATTTGTCAAAAAAAGTCGCTTAGGCACACATGATTTTCGGATACTAGGGATCAAAATAAGATACTTTGCTGAAGAAACTATACCTGTAAAATGAATTCTGATGTTCCGTGCAATCACCCTAAAATAAGAGTTAAAATTTGAAAAATTCCCGAGATTCACCCATGCCCGTGGTTCATCCCCTGTGACGGTTTTTCAACATTCAGCCCTTATTTTTGGGTCAACACACTGGACATCAGAATTCATTTCAGAGGTATGGTTTCTTCAGCAAAGTATCTTATTTTGATCCCTAGTATCCGAAAATCATATGTTCCTAAGTGACCTTTAAATCGCCCCGCCCTAATATATATATATATATATATATATATATATATATATATATATATATATATATATATATATAGGTGAGCTAGCGAAAATTAATTATGATGTATCGCATACTTTCTTTAGAACATGGTTCACAAGTCAAATTTCCATCAGGTTTTTCAGTCTGAATATAGTTGTTGGGGCAGAGAAGAATACAACTTTTTTCAAAAGACTTGTAATGCTGGGGACTAGATGATTCTGGTAGTGTTACTCCTCTAGGTGAAGGCATTTCACGGCATTCTTGTTCAGTTACGCAGCGCCTTTCTTGAAACTATGAAATAATTAGATTTATAAGGAGTTAGCATTATATAATGTTAGAACGATTAGAAAAGTTTGAAGGAGAAGCAGATTGTCATTTCATGCCATTATATAAATAAAATTTTAAGGAAATAGCATTTTATTACACATATTGTTATTGTTTTATGTAAAATATATAGTTACTAACAAAAAGTATTTATTTAATTCACATATTAAATATTAATCTACTATAGTGTATGTAAGAATATTCAACGTAAATATTATTTGATACTGAATACTAAAAATAAATATTACTTTTCAACACCTTCTGATATTTTCGCCATACCTTGCCAAAAATAATCGAAGTATGTGCGGTGCATCTCTTGATATGTAAATTTTGATTTTTCCGTTCTATGTTCGGAAGAAAACGTATCAACTAGTTCGTGATTCGTAAACTTTGTATTAACTTTACGTTCGGACAGTAAATGTTTCAGGATTTTATTGTTAAATTGGTATGATACCCGAAATTTGATGTTTAAACAACGATAAAATAGGTATTTATTTTTTGTAAAAAATGTAAACACTGACATTTAGTGCTTGTTTCCAATTATTAATTATTCACAAGTTATGTGATAATGTATAAGTGTTAATCTAAGAATTTCAAAACCACTGATGATGACGTAGAATTTTACGTCGAAACGTATGGAAAAATAAAGATGTTTTAAAAATCTTCACTTTATTTTTAACTTGATGCTGCGCCCTCCAAGAAATTAATCATATATATACAGTGGCGTCCAAACCGTATGGGCTGGATGGGCTTCAGCCCATGAATTTTGACGGGCTTAGCCCCGATTAGATTAGATTCTTCTTATAACGTTACTCATTTTCATTAGAACTCGTCATTTCAACCACATTCATATTTCAAAAATGCTTGAATATGTCTCCAGAGATAAAAAAAGAAAACGTGTTTTTAGTCGAGTTTAAACTTAAATAAAAACTGTACATGCATATAAACAAAAATGAAGATGATAATGAAAATAAAGTTGACTGACAACATGAAAATTCTCAGCATGTGAGACAAATATTTACATTAAAAAATTGTACAATAGAAAAAATCGTCCTGATCAATATTGAGATCGAAGAACAAGAGGTGGACGAAAACGACAAAGGATCAAAACGATCAAACGAATAAATGATATGAGAAGAAAGCAACGGGAAATGACGACACAATAAGCATAATACTGGCAGGCCTGCTGAAAGAGCTGGGAAACAACGGATTAAGGAAACTGACCAAACTGTTGAACCAAATATACCAAACGGGCGAATATACCGAAAGGACTTTCTGGATGTCACGATGATAGATCTTTAGAAAAGGACCAAAACGAACAAGTGCAGCGACCGCAGGACGATCAGGCAGACTTCGCACACCTGGAAAGGTATTCGCCAAATCCTTACGATACGACTGAGCAAAGACCAATTTAGTTTAAGAAAAATAAGATGCATCAGCGATGCTATTGGAATATTGTCAGACAAATGTCTCGACGTTAATGATGTTTTATAGAATGGCAGAAAGCTTTTGACGGAGTCAGATAAAGGAAATTTTAAAATCTAATAACGTCGATTGGAGAGATCGCAGGCTGATTCAAAGTAAGCAGATGATCTAGTGGTAATATCGAAAAACCAAACCGAGCTACAAAACATGACGAGCGGAATCGTCGAAGAAGATACGGAATGGAAATCAACGTCGACAAATCGAAAGTGATGAGAATCACAAAAAGAGATGAGCCCCTGAGGATGAAAATCGAGAATTGGAAGATGTGGATTATTTCAAATACTTGAAAAGTATCCTGACCATGAGACGAATATTGCACGAGAGAAATCAGGACACAAGGATCGCAAAAGCCAAGCCTGACAAAGTGCTATGTCTGGAGCATAGCTATGTCTGGAGCATCTGTACGAATCAGAAACACGGCTTCTAAGAAAGGCCGACAAGAACTACTTGAAGAGTTTTGAAATGTGGTGCTGGAGAAGCGAATGGAAATGGAACCCAAGTGCTGCCCTGCAATTAGTAAGACCCTGCCGTACCTCGTGATTGCCCTGCGTGATGCGCGCGCATCAAGATGGCCGCCTCCGTCCTGTATAAAAGAAACGGCCATCGAAGCAAAAGGCTTCTTCATCCATCAGCGGCCAACAAGGACAAATCAATACACAAATTGTATTAAATAATAATAAATAGTATTGATCAAAATCAATCTGTTGTTATTCAACAATCACTTCAAATTAATAAGTCCTGAAAAGGGCCGAAGAAAGGACTCCACTAAGCACAATCCTGAAAGAACCCGTGCTGCAATAAGAGTACCTACTACACGTCGTAGTCGAAGGCAAAAAAGTACTGAAAGGAATGGGAAGAAGAAATGCAGATGATTGACGACTTACGCGAAAAGAAAAAATACAGGGAACTAAAAGCCGAAGCACGGGACAGGAAAATGTGGAAGCAGAAGTTTTGGAGAGAAAATACATAAAAATGTGTGAAAACGGAAGGGGGGGGGGAGATAGTTATAATAAAAATGATAACGACGAAGGGTAAGGGAGTCATACTAGCATTTATTCTTGTACAGATAAAGCTTTCTTTTTTCATTTTATACTATTTTAACATAATTTATCTGAGCCCGCCCATCAAATTTTACCTTCCGACGCCACTGTATATATATATATATTATATATATATATATATATATATATATATAAATCTCGTGT